GTGACCTCATCTGCACAGCACTCAATCATCTCATTTTGGGATGAAGGGGATAAATATGTACTATGTAATGGGGGTGTATATGACTGGAGAAACGGATCAAACTGCTTTAAAAGTTTCATGCACTCAAGAAAGTTTCCCTGATTGTGGCTTGATGCTGCCTCATCGTGGCCACGGAATGGGATGTTTTGTTTGGCTAAGAACTGTGTCACAGCCACAATACGGCTGATGTACTCCCGTCTCTACTTGATTTCCACCTCATGTGCTGAATGCATGAACAGCACTGGCTTTGCAGCTCTGCAATGCCCTTATACTTTCTTTATGGGCAGGTGTTTTCTCATGCTCTCTGAAGAGATCTAGAGCTTTTTTCCAGTTTGTTAAACCAGTGCTCACAAATGAGTCATGTTTAACATGTTTACCAAACATCCTACATGAGAAACAAAAAGCTGCATCTTTAGTTACAGAATATTCTAACCAGGAAAAGCTTTCAAACCATTTTGAATTAAATGAACGTTTTTTTACTCCAAAATTGTGCTGGGGATACTGGGACAACTTCACTTGTTTAGGACCATCATGCTTTCCCCCTAAGTCACTAATGTCCCCTCCTTGTTTGTGGATGCTGGTTGTTGCTCTCTCTTCTTGACTTGTAACTGCTCCTTCATCACCTTCATGGTCCTGTCCTTCCTGTCTTTCACCTGCCTCTTGCCTGTCAGTCTCGCCTCCTCCTCCCTTTCCTACTCCAGCACCTTCATTCTCATTCTCTACAGCAAACATTAAAAAACTTAAATTTATATTTATGTTCAGATCAGTCATATTGCTTATAACGTTCCTAATGTAACTGGTTAGCTTAAATGACTAATTCATGACGGGACCTTACCTCCCTCTCTCTCATCTTGTTTTACTGCTTCCCTGTCTCTGCTTCGTGTCAGGAATTTCCTGATATCCATCTACAAACCAATGCAGTAATTTTCTGTTAGTAGCCTATAAATCATGTGGTATCACTGGGAAAATATTAAAATTGACAGGTAAGAAACGTTACCAGAACTAAAAATGTGTCGCGGCCGCACAGTGTCCCATCCAACTTAGTTGAAAGCAGCGTGTTAGTTTACCTGCAGTTCATGCAGTGACATGCGCGGACGTGGGAGCGCTATTACATCCTCAATTTGGAGTTGACAATAGACTTGCTGGGCATTTAAGTAGAAATATACGTCTCCTCCCGTTGGAACGATCTAAATCGATGTATTACAAAATTTATTATTGCTGCAAATATTCCTGAGGTTTTTACTGGGGCACAGCTCATTTATAGTGGGGCATGTGCCCCAGTAAATGGGGTCTGGCGACGCCGATGAAATACAATAAATAAACAGATCCCAAGGAGAACTTGTCTGGTCACGAGTGGATTCTGAAATGCACACAGAGTTAACAGGTCCAGGACTGGTCACGAGTGGGTTCACTGCAGAGGGGGACAGAGGAGTTAGTGGAGGTCCAGGTAATTTGCAGGATGAGAGTGTGCAGGGGTCAGAGATTCAGACAGGCAGGTTGGCTCAGGATTGCTAACCGTAACTGGCAAACACTCTGGCACTGGAGAGAAGTCCTCTGCCTCCTTAAATACAGATCTCCTGATGAGCAGATGAGCGACAGATGGTTGCAATCGGCTCCGGCTCCAGGAGATCTAGTACGCCCTCTGGTGGAGAAAGTGGACAGACCTCCAGATCCCAACACAAGCAGCTTGATTCAATAATAACACCCTTCAAATGGAGCTATAAAACAGTATGTATAGCAAAAAAAGCATTTGTGTAAACCCAAATGGCAAGATAGCTCAAAAGATTGCCCAGCTTGGTTAACACTGGAGCGCTCTTTATGCAATGGCACTTTCATGGTGGGTTCTAGAGATAGCCCACATTTAGAGCACTACTCAGAGGCAGGGTAAAAGTCAACCAGTTTATTGACAGAATGGAACCAGAGAGACAAACACAAGACTCAGAGAGAACAAACAAATGGGGATTCTCAGCGGGGAAAAATCCAGCGGTCTGGTGAACCGGAGCCGGAAACTCAAGAGGGGAGGTCAAAGTAATGAGTTCAAGGTCTGTAGGGAATTTGATCGAGGCAGATGAATGGTTTAGTTATGAATCACATAACGACGGTCTTGGTTGATCCTTGAAGAAAACAACAGGAAGAAACCTCCAGCAGAACCAGGCTTAGTGTGAGCGGCCATCTGCTGAGGCCGACTGGGGTTCAAGGAGACAGAAGCAGAGATACAAAAAGCAACTGTAAAAGGCGGCCCCTTCCAGGAAACACACAGCCAGGCAGACGAGCTCCGAGCCAGCTCCCATGTCTAGGGATGAAAGAGAGCACATCCAGCCAGTCATAGTCAGAGAAACAGGACACTGGAAAAACAGAACGATCTCCAACATCTATAAACAAAGGTGTTGATGGCAGCATCCATCCATCCATCCATCCGGATTTCTCCCTTTCTTCATATAGGCTAACATTTGATCATTCACGCTCTCCGTAGTTCCCCAATGGCGCGAGCACAGGGCAGCTGTTACGGGCATTTAGTGAGCATGAGCGTTTCCTGTGGCTTGCGCGGTGAATCGTGCCACCTGCGGAGATGCAGGGAAAACCGTATCTGATGGGGAAACACAGCTCGACGTAACACCAGTATTTCCATCTGGAAAACGCTGTTTTACCACTAGAGTGTTCCTCACTCTCCATCCTCCCCTCTCTCATTGCTCACGAGTCCTATCATGAAAAAAGGTTAATTGTGCGACCTGAGTAACGTGCAGTAACGGGGTGTCGGCAATTGTAACTGCGTTATAGTTACATAAGAGTAATAATTTTGATTACTGATTACTAAAAAAAGGTAACTAACGCCGTTACTTTCAACACCGTTACTCCCATCACTGATAAGGAACAATCAGATCTCTGATATCAGATGGAGCTTGGCCATTTAAGGCTTTATATGTGAGAAGGAGGATTTTAAATTCTATTCTGGATTTAACAGGAAGCCAATGAAGAGAAGCCAGGATAGGCGAGATATGATCTCTCTTTTTAATTTTCATCAGCACTCTGGCTGCATCATTTTGGATCAGCTGAAGTCTTTTAACTACAGTTTGTGGACTTCCTGATAGTAAAGAAATACAATAGTCCAGCCTTGAAGTAACAAATGCATGGACTAGTTTCTTAGCATAAACCCTGGACAGGAGATTTCTAATTTTTGCAATATTCTGCAGATGAAAGAAGGAAATTCTAGAAACCTCTTTGATATGGGATTTAAATGACAGGTCCTGATTAAAAACAACACCAAGATTTTTTATTTTATTATCTGAAATCAGTTTAATCCCATCCAAATTAAGTGACTGACTAATCAGCTTCTTTTTCAAAGACATGACTGTAATCTATGTAATGGGTTAGCTTTACCTGGATTTATAGACAGATATAGCTGGGTATCATCAGCATAACAGTGAAAATTAATCCCATGCTGTCTAATAACTCTACCGATTGGGAGCATATATAAAGTAAAGAGAATTGGTCCTAGCACTGATCCCTGTGGTACTCCACAGGTAACCTTTGAGCATGAGGAAGACTTGTCATTAACGTGAACAAACTGAAATCAATCAGGTAGATAAGATTTAAACCAGTCTAGTGCAGTACCTTTAATTCCTTTAAAATATTCAAGTCTTTCTAAAAGAATATTATGGTCAACTGTATCAAATGTGGCACTGAGATCCATCAGGACGGGCACAGATACAAGTCCATTATCTGAGGCCATGAGAATATCATTAGTGACTGTCACCAGAGCTGTTTCAGTGCTATGATGAGCTCCAAAGCCAGACTGAAACTCTTCAAAAAGTTAATTATGGTGGAAGTGATCGCACACTTGTTTGGCAACTACTTTCTCAAGAATTTTAGATCAGAAACGAAGGTTGGATATAGGTCTATAATTGACCAAGTCATCTGGGTCAAGAGAAGGTCTCTAAACTAAAGGTTTAATTCCAGCAACCTTAAAAGCCTTTGGTACATATCCCTGTAACAGAGATAGATTAATCACATCTAAAACGGAGAAAGGAGATCAAAGGGAATACCTGGATCTAACATCCAAGTTGAAGGCATAGATGAAGACACTAGTTTTGCCAACTCAGGGCGGATCTCATCCACCCCTGGGGCCTTGCCACCGAGGAACTTTTTAACCACCTTGTCACCAGAGATGGGAGCACCCAAGCCGGAGCCCCCGGCTCTGCTTCCTCATGGGAAGATGTGTTGGTGGGATTAAGGAGGTCTTCAAAGTACTCCGCCCACTGACATACGATGTCCCAAGTCGAGGTCAGCAGCACACCGCCCCTACTATAAATAGTGTTGTTAGTACACTGCTTCCCCCTCCTGAGATGCCGGATTAAGGACCAGAAGCCATACGGAAGTCTTTCTACATGGTCTCTCCAAACTCTTACCATGCCCGTGTTTTTGGCTAAGCGACCAGCCCAGACACCTGCCGCTTTGACTGCCAGTAATTGTCAGCTTCTTCTGGAGTCCCACAGGTTAATAAAGCCTGATAGGACTCCATGGCCTTTCCGAACTCTTTCCATGACCAAGTTTTTGCCTCATCGACCAGCCGAGCCACCTGCTGCTTTGACTGCCGGAACACATAAGCTGCATCTGGAGTCCCACATGTCAATAAAGCCAGATAGGACTCCTTCTTTAGTTTGACAGCTTCCCTCACCACTGGTGTCCACTAGCGTGTTCGAGGGTTGCCACCCCAACATGAACCTACAACCTTGCAGCCTCAGCTCCGACTAGCCACTTCAACAATAGAGGCACGGAACATGGTCCAGTCAGACTCAATGTCACCCACCTTCCCACGGAACGTGTTCAAAGCTCTGCTGGAGGTGGGAGTTAAAGCTCCTTCTCACGGGGAACTACCTGGTGGTGGAGGTTTTTCAATGACTACTAAATGTCCAGCATATCAGCCATAGAATAGCTTCATATAAATGTGTGATTGTGTGCAGGACTTGTGATAGTGGTGAAGGCCTCTACACCTTCCAGACCAACGAGGGTGAGCAGATCTACCACAGGGTCCACTCTTCTGCTTTGGCCATTGCTGAACAGCACAAAAAGGTCCTGCTGGAGATGGAAAGAAACAGAAGGGTGAGAACACACACTTGTTGGACCATGGTCATTTCTAACCCATTATCAATACCTAGTAAACCCCACCCATTACCAATACCTACCTAACCCCCACCCAATACCAATACCTGCCTAACCCCCACCCTTAATCAACACCTACCTAACCCCCACCCATTACCAATACCTACCTAACCCCCACACAATACCAATACCTACCTAACCCCCACCCTTAATTAACACCTACCTAACCCCCACCCATTACCAATACCTACCTAACCCCCACCGTTTATCAATACCTACCTAACCCCCCCCCCTTATCAATACCTACCTAACCCCCCCCCCCTTTATCAATTCCTACCTAACCCCCACCCATTACCAATACCTACCTTACCTCCACCTGTTATTAATACCTAACTAACCCCCACCCATTACCAATACATACCTAACCCCCACCCTTTATCAATACCTACCTAACCCCCCCTTTATCTATACCTACCTAACTTGCACCATTTATCAATACCGATCTAACCCCCAACCATTTAATACCTGCCTAACCTCCAACCATTTAATACCTACCTAACCCCCACCCTTTATTAATACCTATCTAACCCCCACCCATTACCAATACCTACCTAACGCCCACCTGTTATTAATACCTAACTAACCCCCACCCATTACCAACACATACCTAACCCTCACCCTTTATCAAAACCTACCTAACCCGCCCTTTATCACTACCTACCTAACCCCCATCCGTTATCAATACCTACCTAACCCCCACCCATTACCAATACATACCTAACCCTCACCCTTTATCAAAACCTACCTAACCCGCCCTTTATCACTACCTACCTAACCCCCACCCAATACCAATACATACCTAAGCCCCACCCTTAATCAATACCTACCTAACCCCCACCCATTAACCTATACCTACCTAACCCCAACCCATTACCAATACCTGCCTAATACCCAACCATTACAATACCACCTGTTATCAATACCTATCCAACCCCCACTCGTTATAAATACCTACCTAACACCCATGCTTTATGAATACCTACCTAGGGGTAGGTAACGATAAAGGGTGACAGAAGCGGACATAGAAAAAGAAGCATAGATACAAAAGGCAACTGTCAACCAGCTCCACAGGCAGGCAGATGGAGCTTGGCCATTTAAGGCTTTATATGTGAGAAGGAGGATTTTAAATTCTATTCTGGATTTAACAGGAAGCCAATGAATCGAAGCCAGGATAGGAGAGATATGATCTCTCTTTTTAATTTTATGGGGGACAGTGGGTAGACAGTGGGTAGGTATTATTACCTACCTAACCGTCACCCATCATCAATACCTATGTAACCCTCACCCATTACCAACTAACCTTGTCACCATCAAAGGTGCTGCCCTATTGCACCAAATATTCCAGAACAGCAGCTTAGAAAACCTTTTATGTCAAACCTTACTTATTGTTGTAAACTTGCTGTCTCTCATTACCAGAAATACCAGTGTATGAGAATTAGGGGCCGATGTAGCGGAGAATACGTTCAGCCAACATTTTTTTTGTATTAGTTTTTGAAGAAGTGTTTCACACAATTCAAAGACTACAAAGTTACAGTCTCGCCCGTTTATTCTTTCTACATAATTCATCTCTGTTGGTTGGCTCTACATTTTCTGTCTCTAGGAAACGCTTAATTACTTCCTAAACTGGGTTTAATGCAGGTTTGTATTATGATGCATTCAGGAACGTGAGGCAGTATTAAGTTGCTTATTATTTTTGTGTGGACTGAATGCTCTGGACCAAACCTGAAGAGCAACAAGTCTGGTTAATGCTATTAACGTGGTTGGTACTGCCTGAGCTTTGTCTATGTTTCATAATTTGCATGATACACAGCTGCTGTCCAAGGACTCACATGCTGGCTCCTATCCATGTACCCCAACTGCCATCCTACCCAGATCTGCCTACTGGCACCACATCACTGGAAACCAGACCGGCATGGACCATGGCAATGGTAGGACCCCGCTCAACTTTTTACATTTTGTGGATTATCTAAAGATTTGACTCTTAAAAGCAAGCTCATTAGTGATGCAGACATGTCCTGGACTTCAGGAAGCCAAGCTTCAATTGACCACTGTGCATAATGGAGTTAGGACAGGCCATATACTGGATGTTCATTGTTGCAAAGCTTCAAGGAGAAGGTGCCTGAAAAATAGTTCAGCCTCTATCAACCAGAGGACCCATTTAATGGAACCATTGTTAGTAGAAGTCATCGGTGTGAGGCAGTGTCCTAATCCACCTGCCGGTTGATTTAGGATTCATCAAAGATAATGCCTACTACCTTGCCTAGTAAACTTTCCCTGTGAGTGGTCTAGCCCCGATCAATGCCCCAGGCTCTAGAACTGGCGGGGCCAATCACAACGCAGAGATATGTTTTGCCTATCTGGATGCAAAGTGGGCGGGGTTTTGAGGGCGTGACAACAAAGCTGCGCGACCCTGGAGAAAGCACAACAACAAAGATGGCAACAACTATTGAACAGTTCTCGTTTGACTCAGCTTAGGAATCAGTTTTGGAAGGATTAGACTTGGGGTTTTTGTTGAAACGTGAGCAGCCTGTTTTACCAACAGGCTGTTTATTTACACTCCACCACCAGCTTTCTGTCGCACTTGCTACGTCACAGTCAGTTGGGCCAATAGGCACAGACATTGTTTGAAAAACAACGGATTGTTCTCATCAACAATCTTCTGATGTCTTATTCACCGGGGTCAGACTAAATTACACATTTAATCTCACATTTAGTCTGGTTTAACAGGCTACCTGCTACCCAGTAGGACAGTGGTTGCTTTGAGAAGAAAAAACAGGGAGGGCTTTTGAGAAGTCTTTCTGGTTGCCTCATGACAGCTGAGGAAACTGTTTAATGGCTCAGAAAGTGGGAACGTCAAGCACCACTGGCTGTACCTGGAGTCTAGGATCGAAGTCATAGCTGGCAGGTATGGCAAGGATGAAAGGCTATGCCTTGCCAGTGATCAGATGGCCGGCTGTGGTTTGCCAGCAGAGGAAATTCAATTCTGTTAAAACATGAAAGTTAAGCCACCATGGGAGGTTCATTCTGCCTTCATTCTGTCTTATTCCCTTCTTTTTTCTAACTCTTCTTTTCTTTCCTGTCTTCTTGCTTTATTCCGTTTACTGTTTCTATCAGTCTTCCTATTATCATCCTTCCCTCCATTTTCTTCCAGTATAACATCCTACCAGGTGATTATCTCTCCATTCGCTCTTTTCCATTTTGTAGTTTCTCTGTAATTGACTCTATACCTGTTCCCTCCTGCTTTCTACCTGACAACCACAGCAATAGTATAAAAATCTTGGAAAGCTTAAGCCAAGGGCGTAGGTTTGATTTGAACTTTGGTAGGGACACAATTGGTCAGGTGTTATTGGTGCTGCAATATGCGTGCCCTTTTTTATGCTCGATGTGAGCATCCGTACTGATAAGACGAATTCATTGTTAAAAGAGAAAAGCATAATTTTGCTACATTAATAAAAATTTTATAAGCACTACACTCATTAGATGCTGTTTATCAATGTTTGAAGTATCACAGGCTCTGATGAATGTGGAATTAGGACTGTTTTCCACTTTGTAAATGGTTTCATTTGCATGACTAATAGAGAAGGTAAATACAGTATTTTCTTTTGAAGATATACAATTGTGCAGAGTTAAACCCCACTCTTATATTTTACCTACTATGCTCTCTCTGTATAAAGCAAAATAATACATTCATTAAAATATTAAGTTGAACATCTGGGCTGTAGTTACTCTGTATAGCCCATTTCATGTATTTTATCTAGGGCTGAAAAAATTAATCGTATTAATTGATTATTTCAATAATCGTCAACTAATTTAGTATGTGATTAATCATTAACTGGAGAATGGAGACTATAAAACATAATATAAATGTAAAATGTCCCTTTCCCCTAAAGAGCAATCCACTTAGATCAGTAATTATACCAAAATTGTAAAAATACTATATATATATATATATATATATACATATATATATACATATATATAATATATAAGATTAAAAAAAATGTTTTGTCTGTCAATATTCTCCATACATGTGGAAATATTTTAGTTTCACCTGGTTTATTTAGACATCACCTGAAGCACTGAAGGGCCAGCTGCTTCACCTACAAGCTGCCCTGCATCATTATTACTGGATATCTGTGTTTCCTATAATCATATAATGTATAACTGTGTTTTTAATAGTAAAGGATTAAATGTAACACAACCTTTTATCATTGTCCTATATTGCTTACTGTCTGACTGTTTAAATAGCTCCTTACTGTATGTCTATTTTCTTTTTTAGTGGCATCATCTACAAACACAACACTGAGAATGAGCCGAAGTGTATTCAAATATAAAATAATTTTTAACAATTATAAAAGACAATATAACACTATCTTATCTGTAATTTAACATTATCCAAAATAAACAGCCAGATTCAAGCATTTTTACCAGACATTAATGTTTGTACTAATTTACTTATAGACTGTGTGGAAATCTATGTAAGATAAAATCAATGTTTATATTCTTCCTTTTTTTGTTCTTGTCTTTATCCTATTTCTAGAAGTATAAATAGCCAATAAAATAGAACTATTATTATGTGGAACCCTAATTATGCTTTTTAAACGAAAAACAGCAGATGTTTAGGCCCCATTTCTTGTTATTGTACTCTATAAGAGAAATAACACCTGCTAATAGTTATACCTGAACTTCCTCAAAGAGTCATAAAAAATGAAACCAGTAATAGCAACTAAATATTGGTAAAAAGGAAACACTCACATTTTCTTTTTTAGTTGGCTGTGGATAAGAATTAGAAATGTTGATGGCTTACAGCCTTTATTTGCCCATTTTGTGTCTTCAGAACTCCTGGCTGACTCAGAATATTTCGCTTTATAAAAGAAAAAAAAGGTTTTTGTTTTTTAGTGTACATGATATTCATTTTTTTTAATTGGGACTAGTTTTGTAGCCTAATATTTGTTGTAGTAACCGCAGCATTCTAGTGTGAATCAATTTTCAATTTTGTGCTCCAAGCACACCAGGACTAGAAAACAGCCAATCAGAGAGAGAGAGGGCGGAACCTAAGGCAGAACAACCAATGAGAGTGGAGTTAAACAGCGCAGCACAGTTCCATGCGCTGCTGCGTGAAAGGGACAGGAGAGACCAGGCAGAGGAACTGCGAGAGGAAAAGAAGCCACTGCTGCAACAAGTACTGCTGTAAATTATAAACATGTTGCTCACATCCAATTATTGGTCGGGACAATTAGGTCGGTTCAAAATTTTGGTAGGGACATGTCCCTATGGTCCCTATGCAAACCTACGCCCATGGCTTAAGCTAGGGAACAGTTGGAAAACAGAGGATGCCTGACTTTAACAGTTCTGTTTCCCCTGTTTCTAGGTGATGTTGCAGAGGACCAACTACTGTCCACACATCGAGCCCCTGGGCGTCACCCTACCCTTCCTCTGAAGGCACAGTCGCTGTCACATCTACACACCAGCCTACCTTTCCAGGACAGTGACGGACACACATACAGAGGAGGATGTGCACACGGGGACATGCTGTGACGACACTCATCTTTGCGGTCCCTAATGCTGCCGTTTGATGCAGTGCCACCCAGCTTTAGATGAGGGGACCACGTCCATGTGGAGCTGACCCCATTGGGCTTCCTCCCATCACTCTTGGTCCACAGCAGACATTCGGGTCTGCCTGTGCTCTTTCTGTGAAACATGACGGTTTGCTCTGAATCAGCGGGTTTCTTTTAAAGACTTGATGGCTGAATCCTGACACTGTTGGGATTTTTCAGTTATGTAAAGAGATGCTCCTTCCTCTGCCAGCTCAGTAGCTGAAACTCTGGGACCAGCCGGCAGTTTCAACATTTTGAATTCCTCCTTCCTGCCAAGTCGCCTGTTATGCTGCATTCACTCTGTCGCATTCTGAGTGTCAAAGCGTCAGCTTTACATGCCTATGGGAGAAGGCGTTAAGTTTTCACGTCCGAGTGTTCGACACTGCAGTTCAGTTAATCGAACCTTTGCCGCTGGAGGCCAGAGCGTCAACCAATCAGAAAAGCTAATGCGGGTTGTTTTTGGGGAGACAGACACTACCTGCAAGCTGCCATCGGTTCTGCAGACATTCTACATATGAAAAATAAATGAATATCATTGGAGTTCAACTCCAAAGGTTAAAATAAAGCCACAGAAGGAACAGAGAGCAGCTCTGATCATTATTGCTGAACTAAAACATTTTTATGAACTATGGAGAAACAGTTTGTAAATATCCAAATTCCCTAGAAATGTTAAAACCTGCTGATGAAAAATATTCAATTGTGTATTTTGGTTCTTGTTCACTAAAAACCTTGAAAACGCTGTTCACTTCCAGCCGCTACGAACGGCAGGAGGAAATCCTCCACAGGCTGGCCGCAGCAGAGAGCTTTCAGCAGGGATTTCCAGCGCTGCCTCCCAGTGGTATGTTGGAGGTCTGGAGCTCCCAACAAGAGATGCAGATTATAGTGGGATTACAATCCTGATAAACCAATGAACAGAGGATGTTTGGAGGTGGACTTTCTCACTTATAAACATGCTTAAAACTATTTTTTCAACTCATAACGTAAATAAAGCCACTGCACCACGATGTTTCACAAATTTCTGCGTTTGCTAGTTTTCGATGCTCAAAACACCTTAAGTGTGAACGCAGCATTAGTTTTCCCTTGGGCCAAACAATCTACATGTGCCTGTCTGGAGCGATGGCTGGGTGAGCGCTACTTTGTGTTTCAGACAATGTGGCTCTGTCAAATTGGAAGTTCGACAGAGTAACACGTGGACCGATGCTGCAAGGTGCCTTACCAGAACCGAATGGACTCTCCTGTCCCTAGATTGGATTTTTAATCCAGAGGATCCACAGCTTTTCTTTGAAGCCATCACGTCACCTTTCAGGTACGGGATCACTGCATGGTGTTTATAATCTCTGTAAGAGCTGCAGATGCTGATTTACATTGAGGGGTGGCTGAAGAACCTCAGTGATGAATATCTGCAGGTTTATAACCAGTAGAGACTGGTAAGATTTTATTAATTTTATATAGATCTGTAATCCAGCTGCAAGGATTAAGGTAATAAAGCATCAAAGCAACGCTTCAGTTCACTTCAGGCTTGGAAAAGCTTTTCAAAATGACTGAAATCAATTAAAGTTTGACTTAAACTACAAACTCTGAGGAGCTTCTGCCACTTTTATTCAGTTCTAAATGTTGGCTGAAGGTTGCAAATTATCTATTACTACGGACATCTAAGCAGCAGGAACACCCAGAGGATAGCAGAGGCCCACTGGAAAATCCAAAGAGCTCTAATAATGACCCAGTCATGTGCTTAAGGAAACAGAGGACTGATGAATCAATAGAGGGCTAAACATTCCTTTGTTCTGCAACTTGTTTCAGCTGCTTTTTGTGCTTCCAGTCTATGCAGAGCTGTTTGTAAAGTTAATCCATCATAAAATTAGGAGCAATATTTATGGTTATTTAACCAGTTTTAAGAGAAAAATAAGGTTATTTTTTCCACTTTGTCATTCATTCATTTATAAAAATCAAAGTTCCAAACTAAATATTTAGATTGTCAGTTAAAAAATTGTCAGCAAACTAAATATTTATAGGTAAAATAACCAATCTTAAAACATGCTAAATAACTGGTGAAGATTCTCAGTCATCCAGGTCATAGTAATTCCAAAAAAGTTAAAAAAAAAAATCCACTCGACATTGTTTCTAAGTTTGAGGACATTTCTCTTCCCATCCAGGAAGCTTTTTCAATTCAAATGTCAGAAATAGCATTGAGTTCCAGGCTTTATACTGTAGCCTTACAAGTAGTTTAACAAGACCATTAAACAGAGGCTAGTGCATCCTAAGGACAAAAACCCCCAGACCAAATCTGAGCAGAGGGGTGTTTGCAGTTCAGTGCATTGAGGAATGCTCTGATCTTTATATTGGAAAAAAAAAAAAAAACCTCTCCACAGAGGCATGGCCCGACAAAGAAGACTCTGCTGTACATGTACACCTCATGGACAAAGGACTTTCTTTACGTGACCAGAATGTTCATCTGATGCCCATGGGTGTGTGCCCACAATGGGAAAAAGAAGCATGCATTTCTATTATGTATGAGATTATGACTAGTTATTTTATTTGTTGTTAACAGCTGTTAATGACCGTAGTTACTGTGTTTCACCTGTAGGTGGTGCATGGAGACTGTGAACTGCCTGTTGCTCTGCCGTTTCTCATAACCGGAAAGAAATTTGAGTTACACAGCTGCGTCTCCTGTGTGCTTATTTATATGCTGTTTTTCAGCTTCATCTGCTGCTGATGGGTCCAGAACCCTGGTACCCGTTACAGTTGTGGGGGCTTGTCCGGGATACTACTCCCTGCCAGACAGGAAAGTGGTTCCAGTGATAAAGATGCTGGGGACCTCATACATTCCATCTCTCATCTCAGCGGATTAGGGATTAATTTTCAATTTTCAATTCAGTTTATTTATATAGCGCCAAATTCACAACACATGTCATCTCAAGGCACTTTACAGTTCAACCAGATCATACAGTCAAATTGATACAAAGTTTTCTGTCTAAGGAAAACCAGTTGATTGCATCGACTCATTGACTCAAATACAATCCCTCACACTAAGCATGCTTGTAGCGACAGTGGAGAGGAAAAACTCCCTTTTAACAGGAAGAAACCTCCAGCAGAACCAGGCTCAGTGTGAGCGGCCATCTGCCGAGGCCGACTGGGGTTCAAGGAGACAGAAGCGGAGATACAAAAAGCAGCTGTAAAAGGCAGCCCCGTCCAGGAAACACACAGCCAGGCAGACGAGCTCCGAACCAGCTCCCATTCCAGAGGACGAAGAGAGCACATCCACTCAGTCACGGTCAGAGAAACAGGACCACACTGGAAAACAAGCCGATCTCCAACATCTATAAACAAGGGTGTTGATGGAAGCAGCACAGCTGATGTTTCTTTCCAGGATAACATCACAGCCAAACAGGAACAGACGAGGCAAAGCTACTGAGGAAAAGCAGAGAGAGCAGAAGGTTAGAGATTGAACTAACAGATTCTGCAGAATAGGAGAACAGAGAGAGAATGAAGCAGAATGATGAAATGGGGGTCCCTTTGTCCTCCAAAAGTCTAAGCCTATAGCAGCATAACTATAGAGATAGCTCAGGATAACCTGAGCCACTCTAACTATAAGCTTTATCAAAAAGGAAAGTTTTAAGCCTAGCCTTAAAAGTAGACAGGGTGTCTGCCTCACGGACTAAAACTGGTAGTTGGTTCCACAGGAGAGGAGCCTGATAACTAAAAGATCTGCCTCCCATTCTACTTTTAGAAATTCTAGGAACCACTAGTAAACCTGCAGATTGAGAGCGAAGTGCTCTGTTAGGAACATAAGGAACAATCAGATCTCTGATATAAGATGGAGCTTGGCCATTTAAGGCTTTATAAGTGAGAAGGAGGATTTTAAATTCTATTCTGGATTTAACAGGAAGCCAATGAAGAGAAGCCAGGATAGGAGAGATATGATCTCTCTTTTTAATTTTCATGAGAACTCTGGCTGCAGCATTTTGGATCAGCTGAAGGCTTTTAACTACAGTTTGTGGACTTCCTGATAGTAAAGAATTACAATAGTCCAGCCTTGAAGTAACAAATGCATGGACTAGTTTCTCAGCATCACCCCTGGACAGGAGATTTCTAATTTTTGCAATGTTCCTCAGATGAAAGAAGGATATTCTAGAAACCTCTTTGATATGGGATTTAAATGACAGGTCCTGATCAAAAATAACACCAAGATTTTTTACTCTATTATCTGAAATCAGTTTAATCCCATCCAAATGAATTGACTGGCTAATCAGCTTCTTTTTCCGAGACTCTGGTCCAAAGACTATAACTTCTGTTTTGTCTGCATTCAGAAGCAGAAAGTTAAGAGTCATCCAGGTTTTTATGTCTTCAAGACATGCCTGTAATCTATGTAATGGGTTAGCTTCATCTGGATTTATAGACAGATATAGCTGGGTATCATCAGCATAACAGTGGAAATTAATCCCATGCTGTCTAATAACTCTACCAATTGGGAGCATGTATAAAGTAAAGAGAATTGGTCCTAGCACTGATCCCTGTGGTACTCCACAGGTAACCTGTGAGCATGTGGAAGATCTGTCATTAACATGAACAAACTGAATTCGATCAGATAGATAAGATTTAAACCAGTCTAGTGCTGTTCCTTTAATTCCAACAAAATATTCAAGTCTTTCTAAAAGAATATTATGGTCAACTGTATCAAATGCAGCACTAAGATCTAACAGGACGAGCACAGATACAAGTCCATTATCTGAGGCCATGAGAATATCATTAGTGACTTTCACCAGAGCTGTTTCAGTGCTATGATGAGCTGTAAAGCCAGACTGAAACTCTTGAAAAAGTTCATTATGGTGTAAGTGATCGCAAACTTGTTTGGCAACTACTTTCTCAAGAATTTTGGATAAGAAAGGAAGATTGGATATAGGTCTATAATTGACCAAGTCATCTGGGTCAAGAGACGGTTTCTTAAGCAGAGGTTTAATTACAGCAACCTTAAAAGCTTTAGGTACATATCCCTGTAACAGAGATAGATTAATCACATCTAAAATGGAGGAGGAGATCAAAGGGAATACCTCCTTAAATAACCTGGTTGGAACTGGATCTAACGTACAAGTTGAAGGCTTAGATGAAGACAATAATTTTGCTAATTCAGAGAGTTCAACTGGATCAAAGCAGTCTAAACCCGGTTCAGATTCCATGACTACCTCAGGTACAATTGCGGATAGAGGAGTGCTTATGATCTTATTTTTAATAAGATCAATCTTATTTAAAAAGAATCCCATAAAATCATTGCTGCTAAGAGCAGGTGGAATGGACGGTTCAACAGAGCTATGGCTCTGGGTGAGTTTGGCAACTGTATTAAAAAGAAATCTAGGATTATTCTTATTCTCCTCTATTAATGAGGAGAAGTATGCTGCTCTTGCTTTACAAAGGGTCCTCTTATACAGCAGTAAACCATTTTTCCAGACTTGGAAGGACTCCCGCAGGCCTGTGGAGCGATATTTTCTCTCCAGTTTCCTAGCATTTTGCTTCAAAGTACGCAGCTCTGCATTAAACCAAGGAGCAAGCTTTCTATTTTTAACGGTTTTCATTTTCAAGGGAGCTGCGTTGTCTAAGGCAGTACGCAGAGAACTAGCAACCCCATCAACAAAATCATCAACCTGTGAAGGGGAATAAGCTATGCTTTTGCACTCTGCAGCACTGCTCAGTGACACAGAGGAGAGAGAAAGTGAAGCAGATTCTTTAAAATTTATAACTGCACTATCTGATAAAGATCTACTAAAATTGAACCTTCTTTTGGGGGAGGAGAACTCTGTTAAAGTAATCCTGAAGGTTATTAGAAAGTGGTCAGAGAGGACAGGGTTGTGAGGAAATACTGTTATTTCTTCACATTCTATGCCGTATGTCAGCACAAGATCCAAAGTATGAAGATGAGAATGTGTGGGACTATTCACATTTTGAACAAAGCCAATAGTGTCTAAGATAGCATTAAAGGCTGCTCTTAAGCTATCGCCTTCAATGTCAGCATGGATGTTAAAATCTCCCACTATGATGACCCTGTCAGTATTTAATACCAAATCAGAAAGGAACTCTGAAAACTCATCTAAAAATTCAGAGTAGGGACCTGGTGGACGATACAAAGTTACAAAAAGAAGAGGTTTTCTTGCCTTGAAATTTGGATCAGGGAAATTAAGGGTTAAATGTTCAAAAGAGTTGTAGGTATTAACTGTTTTGGGAGTAATCAGTAAGTCAGACTGGAAGATTGTTGCTACTCCTCCTCCTCGCCCAGAACTTCTGGGTATGTGAACATTTAAATAGCTTGAAGGAGTTGCCTCATTTATGCTCACATAATCCTCTTGCTGCATCCAGGTTTCTGTAAGGCAAAACAAGTCAATGTGATTATCAC